ACTAAGTTTTGGACGTAATCCTGGGTCTGTGGGCAAATCATCTACATTGACCTCAATCCGAGGTTGTTTAAAAGTATGAGACCCACTAGCTTCATTTTGAATTACATCACGACGTGATCTTGTAACAGTGACAAAATTATACATGGACATTGTATCTATACAAATAGGAAAGTAATAAAATCAGTTATTGTTATTTTTCCCTAGTTACAAATATAAAATTAATAACACAGGAAAGTAAAACTACACTAGTTGTCTATATAATTAATTCATTAAACATTGAATGTGAAGTACGTTGAAAAAATTGAGATTAAAGAATACAATTATAATAATAAACTGCCATAATGCTTTAATAATTTAGAATCAGAGTGTAACATGTAAAATAAAACCTTGAGTCAGCTCTGGTCCTCTACTATTGCTCTGCAATTTTTTTACACAAATAATGGATTCATTGTTAGAATGTCAGTAATAAATAATTTGAACAATGATAAGTTGCCAAGTTGATAATAGTAATTATTAACTATTGAAGCTTTAGTATTAAAGAAATAAACCTCAAATAAATCTAAGGCAGATTCGAGAGAATCGAGTGAATCGTCGGAGGCTGGACATCCTTGTGTAGTTGTGTTGTTGTTGGCTAAGATACGTAGCTTTTTTTAGGTTAGGGATTTTGAATGGATGTGTTTTAAATTTTAATTGCAAAAGTGTTAAATTTTAAGTACGTACGACCCAGTCTAACAAAGGGAAAAGAAAATTAAAGCCCATTCGCATGATCCGTGTAATAAAAATGGCTATTGAGTAGCAGAGAAGTATAAAAAAAATCGAGTGTAGCCAAAAGAGGATTTGAACTCCTAACCTGATGCCTAATGGGAATTTTAATTTTTAAGCTACTACCACCTAGGCTAGTAGCACTTTTTGAGGTGAAGCCAATGCTTACCCTCATTATATTATAGGTCCGCCCCTGGGTTGACACATTAAAGAATGATGAATGACAAAAGTATGGAAAAAAGTAAAAAACCATACCCATGAAGGAGAGAAGGGTAGCTTGGAAGATGGAAGAAAACAAGTCTCCAAGGGTACTTGTTTCAAATCCAAGGGGCGATGGTCAGATTATGGGTGGATTGAGCTATTCATTTTTTTTGGAAAAAAGTAAAAAACCATACCCATGAAGGAGGGAAGGGTAGCTTAGAAGATGGAAGAAAACAAGTTCATCCATGTCTTTCAAAATCCATTAAAATAAATACTACCTTCGTTATCTTTTAATTGTAACATTGAACGTTTTGCACTATTCACGTATTCTACTTTGACTATATTTTATTAATTAATGTATTATAAATTAAATTTTTAAAAAATATTGTTAAATTCTTCTCATTATAAATTTTCAAAATATGTTTTATTTTTTATTTTTTTTACTAATAAGAAATGAAATATATTAATGATCAAACTTGTACGTTGACAAACATAAAATGTTGACTGTGTTAAAGCTGGAGAGTTGGGAAACTGTTTTAGAAAATCTGGCGGATTTCTCAGAGTATCGTGTGATCACTTTCCGAATCTAATATTTCGACCATATGCCTGGGTTACACGAAATTTAGATTATGGGGATAATCACTCTGAGAGACAGTCTAAAACTGAGGCACCAATATATAGACCACGAACTAGCGGTTTTAGTAGAACTCGAATTCTTCTGATTACCAAAGAGATAAGGCCAATCAGTTAGAGTTTTACTCTAACAGAAAGTCATTCTATTAAATAACTAATATGGACATGTTTATCCGAAAATAAATTTCCATATTTATTTCTTTAATAAAATAAAATTTTGGTGATACCCCTGCCAGGGGCGCTGCCCCTTGGACCCCGCCAGGGACGCTGCCCCTTGGACCCCGCAAGGGGGCGCAGCCCCCTTGACCCCCGCCATTTAATCGAACCAAGTTTAAATTTAATTTCGTACAAGTGTGCGCTCCGCACCTCCTAACTTGTCTAAAATTAAACTTGAACTCCATTGGTAATCTGTAAATTCCATTACACTAAAATGAACCTGGTGATACTAAAATCACCAACAATCCTCCCCCATTTTAGTGTAACCATGAATCTACATAAACAAGAATAAGAGAACCAAACTTATGCATACATGAAAATATCGAAACGATTGAATTTTCATTTTAGTACATTACACATTCCAAATACTCGAGAATCAGAGTGTTCTAAGAATTGAACCCTTCAACCCATTTGAATACATGAAGATAACATACACATAAGTTCAAATAAACAACTAGTTCAAAACTTTGACATTATTATTAAGCCGAGTGTCCCAATCCATTCATAATCGTATAAAAGTCAAGTCCCAACTTTTCGAAGTGCGGCTACACTTCACGATCATATAGGTAATTCCTTTAATCATGTACCTGCTTACATTTTAACAAAGGAATTATTAAGAATATATATTCAACCCTTTTACTACAGGTCCGAACACACTAACCTGGGATGACAAAATGCATGTGTTCCATTCCTTAAGTATGAGCTTTCCTCATTGAATTCAACCTCTAATATTATATTAGAGGGGAATTGGGTGTCTCATCATTATGGAATTAAATGGACTTTAAACCCATCCCAATCGCAGACTTGTGCACTAAGTCCCTGGCCAGACCTTTAGTTAAATGATCCGACAAATTCTGTTGTGATTTCACATACTCAACAGAAATTACACCCTTCATGATTAAGTCCCTAATCATACTGTGTCTAACACCTAAGTGTGTAGACTTCCCATTATACACTTGACTATAGGCCTTAGCCAACGTGGCAGCACTATCACAACGAATAGAAATGAGTGCAATTGGCTTTGTCCATAATGGAATCTCAAAAACCAAATCCCTTAGCCATTCTGCCTCTTTACCGGCAGCAGCTAAAGCAACAAATTCAGACTCCATTGTTGAATTTGTAATGCAAGTTTGCTTCTTAGAGGCCCAAGAAATGGCACCTCCCCCAAGCAAGAATACCCAACCACTTGTAGAAGAATGATCTTCTAGGTGATTTATCCAGTTTGCATCAGTATATCCTTCTAGAACCGAGGGATATCCAAGATAACATATTCCATAATCCACGGTTCCTTTTAAGTATTTGAATACTCTCTGAATTGCTTGCCAATGTTGAGTACTAGGATTGCTAGTATACCGACTCAACCTCCCAACCGCGTAGGCGATATCCGGACGAGTGCTTGTCATGGCATACATCAAGCATCCTATAGCTTGAGAGTATTCTAATTGTGATATTGCCTTGCCTTTGTTTGGCATTAATTTGACACTAGGGTCCATGGGAGTACTCACGGGAGAACATTCACTATAATTAAATTTCTTGAGAATTTTCTCAACATAGTGTGCTTGCGTCATAGCAATTCCTTTGTTCAACCGCTTAATCCTAATACCAAGGATTACATCAGCCTCCCCCATATCTTTCATGGAAAACCTTGATGACAATAAACTTTTCGTTTCATCAACTTGAAGTTGATCAGTGCCAAAAATCAGCATGTCATCAACATATAGGCAAATTATCACACCACACCCGGTTGAATCAAACCGGCTGTAAACACATTTATCAGATTGGTTTAGCTTAAAACCACTTGATAGAATAACTTCATCAAACTTTTGATGCCATTGTTTTGGTGCTTGTTTCAGACCATACAAAGATTTGACAAGCTTACACACTTTATGCTCATTACCGGGCATAACAAAACCTTCTGGTTGGTTCATGTAAATTTCCTCATCAAGCTCTCCATTTAAGAAGGCTGTTTTGACATCCATTTGATGGACAACCAGATTGTGGATGGCTGCCAAAGCAACCAACAATCTAATGGTAGATATCCGGGCCACTGGTGCATATGTGTCAAAATAATCAATACCTGGTTTTTGTTTAAACCCTTGTATTACCAAACGTGCTTTGAACTTATATATAGTTCCATCTACCTTCATCTTCTTTTTGAAGATCCATTTGCAACCCAAAGGTTTAGAACCTGGTGGCAAATCACATAGCACCCATGTATTGTTTTCTAAAATTGATGATAATTCATCATCAATTGCCTCTTTCCAAAAGGTCACATCTCGGGATTCCATGGCCTCTTTAAAGGTCTTTGGATCTCCTTCAATACTGTAACAATACGAGTATTGAAATCCAACCTCATCCCTTGATCCTTCCACCAAATACAGCTGGAAATCGGAGCCAAAATTTTTAGCAATTCGAGCCCGTTTGCTCCTCCTGACCTCTTGGGGTTCCGGATCTGATATACCTTCTAAGTTTCTGAAATTTGTCCTTCATTACTGTTAGAAATCAGATCCTTAGGCCTTGGGATTGATGAAAAACGCATTTCATCAAAAATCGCATCTCGTGACTCAATCACGGTATGTACAGAAACCGAATTATTAGGATCTATAACATAGAACCTATATGCCTTGGAATTTTCAGCATATCTTATGAAAATGCAGTCAATTCCCCTTTCTCCCAAAGTATTTATTTTGGGATTGGTTAGTTTGACAACTGCCCGACAGCCCCAAATTCTGAGGTAACTCAAATTTGGAGACTTTTTGAACCATAATTCATATGTGGTTTTCTTGTTCCTTTTATTTGGAACCCTATTCAAGACATAACATGCGGTAAGCATTGCCTCCCCCCAAAAACCCTTACTCAAGCCTGAGTAAGACAACATCGAGTTGACCATTTCTTTTAAAACTCGATTTTTCCTTTCGGCAACACCATTCTGTTGTGGTGTATATGGTGCCGTGGTCTCATGGATGATACCAACTGATTGGAAATATTGGGTATCCATATATTCCCCTCCCCGATCAGTTCTAAGACATTTAACCGGATTGCCTAATTGCAATTCCACCTCGGTTTTGTATATTTTGAATTTTTGTAAGGCTTCATCCTTAGAATGCAACAAATACACATAGCAAAACCGAGTTGAATCATCAATAAAAGTTACGACATAATTTTTGTTGCCAAGTGAGGGAGTTGAATGAAAATCACAAAGATCACTATGAATCAATTCCAAAATTCCAGAATTTCGATTAATATTTTGAAAAGGTTGTCTTGTGATTTTGGTCAACATGCAAGTTTTACATTTTTCTGTATTATTATCAAAGGCAGGAATTGATCCATCTTTTGACATTTCGTGCATTCTTCTAAAATTAACGTGACCTAAACGAGCATGCCATAACATGACATTATCAATTGAAGAAGTAAATGATGCAGATGATACAAACACAGAATTTCCAACAGAAGATAAAGTATCAACCAAATTCAAGCAAAACATACGGTTAGTAAAATAACCAAAACCAACAAACGTGCCAAATCGAGATAAAATAAATTTATCCGATTCAAAGACTTGCTTAAAGCCATCAGAATTTAAACAACCACCACTAACAAGGTTCTTACTAAGCCTAGGAACAAATAAAACATCAGACAACTTTATTGTTTTTCCCGAAGTAAAAGTAAGACTAACAACTCCAAAGCCACAAATTGGTTGACTCGACTTATCACCCATCATCACCGTGGAACCATCATCAACTGGTGTCAATTTCTCGAACCATCGACGATCTTTACACATATGACTTGTGGCACCCGAGTCAACCCACCATGTACGGTCATCATCCTGTACATAAAAAGAACCAGGAATTAGTGAACAATAATTCTGAGTAGAATTATAAAGAGGGTTAGAAAGATTCTGACCTCCTCTAGATGCAGTAGAGTCCTTAGGCCCACTGTTTCCACCACCACTGTTTCCTCCACCACTATTTGCAGCATTGTTCTTATTGAGATTCACCCGACAATCACGCTTAACATGACCCGTCTTTTGACATCTCCAACAAACCAGATCCTTAGGATTCTTATTTGGTTTGTCTCGGCTATTATTCTTGCGTTTGATGTCTTTTCCCTTGTGATTTTGATTGTTTTTGTTTACTTCAACCATGTGGACAGTAGTCTGTCCAACATCAGGCTTTGCCTTATTTTTGTCACCTTCTTGAATGCGGAGTGATTCCTCAATCTGTATGTGACTACCGAGTTGTAACAGAGACAACTCTTCATTCCCATGTTTCAGATCACGCTTGTAATCCTTCCATGTTGGTGGTATTTTTTCAATTATCATCGCTACTGCGACACACTCATCCATCTTCATATTATGTTGAGTGAGTTGGCCCAGAATGCGAAGAATTTCATTGTATTGTCCCATAACAGGCCTTGAGTCCATCATCTTATAGTGATAAAAATCACTAACAAGGAACTTCTTACTAGAAGCATCCTCAGCCATATACTTGGACTCAAGTGAATTCCACAATTCCTTCGCACTCTCCACGTTTTGGTAAATATCAAATAAAGTATCAGACATACCGTTTAGAATATGGCCCCTGCAGATGTAGTCATAGTTTTCCCACTTGGAACGACGTCTTGACTGCTCAATAGTTTCATCTTTGTGATACTCTGGCATAGGCGTACTCAGAACGTAAACCACCTTCAGTGTGGTCAACAGAAAGTGCATCTTCTTTTGCCAGCGACGGAAATCAACTCTTTGGAATTTCTCCAACTTGTCGAATTTGGAAGTCATCTCTTTTACAGATTCAGCCATGATTTTCCGAAACAAGAAAAAATATTAGATTCGATTGTTAAAGCTGGGGAGTTGGGAAACTGTTTTAGAAAATCTGGCGGATTTCTCAGAGTATCGTGTGATCACTTTCCGAATCTAATATTTCGACCCTATGCCTGGGTTACACGAAATTTAGATTGTGGGGATAATCACTCTGAGAGACAGTCTAAAACTGATGCACCAATATATAGACCACGAACTAGCAGTTTTAGTAGAACTCGAATTCTTCTGATTACTAAAGAGATAAGGCCAATCAGTTAGAGTTTTACTCTAACAGAAAGTCATTCTATTAAATAATTAATATGGACATGTTTATCCGAAAATAAATTTCCATATTTATTTCTTTAATAAAATAAAATTTTGGTGATACCCCCCGCCAGGGGCGCTGCCCCTTGGACCCCGCCAGGGGCACTGCCCCTTGGACCCCGCCAGGGGCACTGCCCTTGGACCCCGCAAGGGGGCGCAGCCCCCTTGACCCCCGCTATTTAATCGAACCAAGTTTAAATTTAATTTCGTACAAGTGTGCGCTCCGCACCTCCTAACTTGTCTAAAATTAAACTTGAACTCCATTGGTAATCTGTAAATTTCATTACACTAAAATGAACCTGGTGATACTAAAATCACCAACAGACTGTTACAAATAAAAGAGAACGAAAGAAGTAATAAGTAAAATCTATGAATTATTTGAGGATATTTGAATTTTAATGGATTCCATGAGATCCTAAATTGAAATTATTCGCATTTGGATAAAATTCTAAATTCTATTAAAATTCAAATTGCGGACACTCCCTTAAAGTTTGATACTCCATATAAATTTATTTATTTTTACCTATGAGGAATGTCAATTTGCCCCCCAATTTGCCATTCTCAAAATTATTTTACTTTCCCGCCTCTCGAGACTCCCGCGAACTGAATATCTCCGCTGTCACGAACACCCACAGTTCCTCTCTTCGTCTGTTCCTTCGCGATTTCTTTTACCGAAATTCCTTATTCGCATTTTTAAACCCTAAACCTCGTCTCAGTTCTTCACGTTGGTACTTTAGATCTGCTCGAGCGCGAATGGAGGGCTCAAGGAATAAATCGTTTTTCCAAGACATCAGATCTAGGGAGCTCAATGGGTTCAGAGGTACCTCTTCACCCTAAATCTATGAATTCCTCACCAGCTCATATAAACATTTTTTAAACTCTTTTGTGTTTTTTCTGATGTTTTTTGGATCTCAGTGAAAAAGAGACCATTTGAAAGTACCGAGTCCGCACAGTTCAGTGAAATAGGAGCTGTTTCGGTTGAGCATGATGGTCAGACATCACCCCCCATGGCTGTCTCTTTCTGCAAGGTCTATTACCGCCTTCCCGGAACAGAAAATTAGTATTTGTATCTTATACTGGTGGATTTGTTAAACCCTTTTTTTTGTGTAAGCAGACAAGCAGAAATTGCCATATAATTGCCGTTTCTGATGAGGGTGGTTATATTAGCTTGTATAATACACGCTCCAAGTTTCTGTCTTCTTCCACTAACCAGGGAAATGCAGGTATAGTCGAGCCTCAATTCCCCATTATGAATTAGGGTTTTGATGTAATTGTTTGCAATAGCCTCGTGATTATTAAATCTAAATTTTTCAGACCGGGCAAAGATTTCTGAATGGGTTGCACATGAAAATGCTATATTCGACATATGTTGGATCCAGGTATCATATCAGCCTATCTGCGTTGTACTAGTAAGGACTATCATTTTTCTTGCATTTTTCCAAACCAATACTCCCACTTGCACTCCACCTCATACATTTTCCATTAGTCAGTGTTACATTACCTTAGTGTCTACAGTACGAGGAATTTTGATATTGATACATGTGAGTTTTAGTGATGAGTTAAGCATGAATGGTTAATGTCAGTTGAATGCCCTGCTTCTTTATTTTCTGATATCTGAGTGTGTGTGAATTTCATATTCAGGATTTAATCACAATGTAGATCTGACATAAAGTAAATTTGGTAATTGATAAACATTACTAGTCAGAATAACAACAAAATTTAATACCCTGCAGGAAGACAGCAACATAGTAACAGCTTCAGGTGATCAAAGTGTAAGCATCTCTTCTCCAACTTAGTTTTTGTCTCTCATTCTTAAATCACATTTCACATTACATTTTTTCCCTCTGTTGAAATTATATGTTAAGTCAATTTGATTCCAAATGATATGTTGTATGATATGTATAAATGCTTTTTACAAAAAAATTCCAACGACACATTTAGTATACAATGTGGTTAAATTATTCTATAAATATTGGAAACTTAGAAGAAACTTTACTTGAAAAATTTCACAGATAAAAGTATGGGATGCAAAGGAACAGAAATGTGTAAGCACATTGATGGGCCACACTGGAAGTGTGAAATCTCTTTGCGTTCATCCTACAAATCACAGTATGCTTCTACTTTTGCTCGAGCCATTTAAACTTTCAACTTTTACTTAAGGGTTTTTCTTTTGTTGTACACTCACATTTTTTGTTGTCTTCTGGCAGATGTAATTGTATCTGGCTCACGAGATGGGTCCTTTGCTCTATGGGATTTGAGGTGCTATAACAACAGTAACCAGAGACTTTGTAAACCGTAAGCACTTATTCTGCTAACTGTCTAGTGAACAAGGGTGCTGATTTATGAATATTGAATAATGATCATTGTAATAATGATCTATAAAATGTATATCATAGATTCCTAATTCATCTTGTTTGTATGTTACTATTGAACAATCAAATTCAGGAAATTCTATAGTTTGCAAAGATAAACACATTTTAAATCTTTTTATTGCATGGCTCATGTGCCACCCAGATGAATTGAACTGAACTTTCTATTTTGTTCAGGCCAATTGCTATGGTGCGTCAGGCTCATGCTTCTCCTTGTGCAAGGCAGAGCAGACATAAAAAGGTTTACAGTGACAACATTGTTTATATGATAATGTGATTAAGTACGTTCATATGTTCGCCAACATGATCTCATTCTAAACTGGCTAAGTTATTTCAGGCTTCTTCTATGAGCATCACCTCTGTTTTGCATTTAAAAGATGAGATCTCCATCGCTACTGCAGGAGCAGTTGACAGGTGCCACAGATCTTTAGCAATGATAGTTTACATAATTTGGCAATTAGCACATCACAGAGAATGTGATAATGTGATTTTCCATTTGAATTGACCACATTTTATTCTCTTAAATTCCAGTATAATAAAGTTATGGGACACAAGGAATCTGAAATCTCCTTTCAGTCAAGCATGCCCTCATCCAGATGTATCAGCTCAGAAGGTAAGTGAATAGATCTACCATTACCTTGAAACAGAGGATACTTTTGGAAGCAATAATTACCAATTCTCTTTCCTTGTTCAGCAAAGAAAGCTGCATGGCATATCTAGTTTATCTCAAGATTTAAATGGAGTGTTTATCTCTGCAACTTGCATGGACAGCAGGTACTGTATCCTGAAACATGAATTGTCTGCTTTTAGTATGACGTTTTTGGATTGTTATTTAAATGCTTAAATTAGGCGTTCATTTTATAATTCCTGCTTTAATTGCCCAGGCAGTCCCAAATTTTACTAGCACCCTTCTCCTGATAATAGATCTTTAAGTAGAAAGATATGCATAAATTGTTCATGTGTCTGTTTTACTTAGATTCTGAAGCCTTTGTCCTTTCAGAATATACCTATATAACGTACTTCAGCCAGAGAAAGGGCCAGTGAAGAGCTTCTCCGGATGCCAAATCAATTCATTCTTTGTGAAGGTAGGTGATCGTTACTCTTGGTTCTTACTTAGACCTATTTAACTGCTTTATATTCTTAAGAGCTTGCCATAAATTTATGCGATCGCAGTCATCAATAAGCCCGGATGCAGCACACGTCTTAAGTGGCTCTAGTGATGGGAATGCATACATATGGCAGGTAACTGTCGTCATTCCAAACATTCCATATATGGTTTGTTTATGTGATTATTAATTAATAGAAATAATTTTTTAAATACAGATAAGGAATCCTCAAGCAGATCCCATTATACTGAGTAGCCATGAAGGAGAAGTTACTGTGGTTGATTGGTACGTCTTCTGGTATATTATTGTATCCGGTCTCTTTGTTTTCACACATATAAACAAACTTCACAATACTATTATACTACAGGTGCCCATCTGAGACTGGGAAAATAGCAACAGCATCAGATGATTTCACGGTAAGATAGGTAGAGATGTAAACAAATAAAGTATATTCAACCATGTTATAAGCTTTGCACATTTAGTAAAACAATGATTACCATTTGGCATTCTCTACATGTATTTTCACAGGCCCGCATTTGGAATATCCAAAGCAGTTGTTACTCCAACACAAGATCTCCTTCTTCAATTCGAAGGAGAATAATGGCACCATCAGGTGTTGAATGTCGGAAGCTGAAACTGTTTCCTGATGAAAAAACAGATTCCACCAGAAATGATCTCGACGTTAGCCATTCAGATGTAGTGACATGCGATTTCAATTCCCCGTGTGGGATGGTCTGTGTCCCAGAAATATGTACTCCAGAGTCCCAGAAAAGGAAGTATTTGGCATTGGATTATGAGATAAAAGACATGGAAAAAACTCCAGAAGCTTCAACCAGGAGCCCTTCTTCTGTTCTGAATCTCCCATCTTCTCTAAAGAAGAAAACAATCAGGGATTACTTTCGTACAACCCCGTCATCCTCATTCTAATTCTACTGGTTGCGTTACATGTAAAAAAGGCGATTCAAGTCTGCTTATTTTTGTTTCATACACTCCTGAATGGCAGATACTGTAATATATTAACCCAAGGTTTTGGAAGGAAAAAATACACTTCTATTCAGTTTTAGATTGGAAACAAGGACTCTAGTTTAAGATTTTTATACGAGTAGTTGTATAGACTATAGATTATGTTGAGTTGGATCAATCCATGCAGTTTGAAAATGAAAGATTGAGTTGGCAGTTGGGAAGCTTGACGTACATACTAAAATCTAAATATCCAAACAATAAAAAATTTGGGACTCTTTCCATATCACCCTGTTTGATTTTCAGTTTTATGCTTATAGAAGTTACGGAGTCTATAATATAAGTTGTCCAATAAACCAAAAAGCATTCCTACTTATTTAAGTTATGTAAATAATTTTAGATGTTCATTTTTAAACCTCCAATTAAGTATTACGATATGTAATACTATATATTAATTTTAAAACTTAAAAGTTAAGGGGGGCAAGTTCAAAAAAAATTTAAGGGGAGCGAATCTAATTAAAGTATCAAAATTTTACAAAAACATTACATACTCCCTCCGTCCCTTAAAACATTGTCATCTTTCTTTTTTGGGACGTCCCAAAATACTTTGCCACTTTCCCTTTTCATCAATTATTTTGTGGTTTCTGTTATTTCTCTCTTCTCTGCACAAACCTCAACCACACAGTTTTTACTTTATTATTCTCCGTGCCGGTCAATTTTGGCAAAGTTTTAAGGGACGGAGGTAGTATATAGTAGAAAGTTTTGAAAGTCCAAGGGGGGCGGTCACCCCCAGCCCCCCTTAAATCCATCCCTGGGTGTGAGCAGAAGGAAACGACTCTTTTGGCCTCTTAATTTTAACGCATGACACACACATGTGTGTTGTTTGTCGGAAAAATCAACGGGACTGTAGACCTGTCAACGGGTCGGGTACGGGTTGGAACGTAGTATCTCAGACCCGGACCCGTTAGCCTGTATAGGATTCCAGACCCGAGCCATATACCCGACGGGTCTAGAACTAATGTTCCGAACCCATACCCATTGGGTCTCGGAACCGGGTCGGGTAGACCCGACCCGTCTCACGAAAATCTAATTCTAATTTCTTAAATTAAAAACAGGACCTCTTACTATCGAGTACTTTTCTGACAACAATATGACACATGAATTGTAATTACTTGTCTATAATTACTCAACCAAACGCAACAATTGTGAGTTGGTTTATACTTTGCAAGATACTTAATGTTAGAATGAAGAGTAAAAATAAATGGCTTTGGAAACTAAACAAGCTTTTTCTTGAATCCTCTGCGGACTGCGGACTGTAGGGTCTCTAGTGATCCTTCTTCGGATTTATTAAACTAAATCGTAATGTGGGCGACAACTAATGTAATATGTATATTAGACTAATGTATATATATAAATAAATATTAACGGCCCGGGTCCTAAACGGGTCGGAACTACATATACCATACCCGACCCATTAAAAAACGGGCCCGGATCCGGGTCCGGGTAACGGAATTAAATTTAGACCCATACCCGTTAAAAAAAGACGGATCCGGGTCAGGTTTGGGTCTGGACTCGACCCATTGACAGGCCTAAACGGGAAGATGAAAAATGGCAAATATTCCATAGTTGTGCACTAAATCTGGAAAAAACGGGGACTAAAATTGTCCCGACCATTAAAATCGGAGGATCAAAAGTGGATTTTCCCCCCCACAAATATGTAAGTAATTGTCTGTGCACACAGACAACGTTGCAAGAGTTGCCTGTGTACACATGCAACTAAGAGTTGTACACATTGTCTGTGTGCAAAGACAATTGCGTACAATGTGTACGAAATGTGTACAAATTTCATGTACAAATAGTTTTTTTTGTACTTTAAAATACTATGTTTCCCTACAAAGTACAAGTTACTCTTTAATTTCCTCAAATCATATTGCAATTTTGGCATTGCCTACCATTAATACGTCAGTGTTAATGTAGAAATTGTCAGTATTTTTCAAACATGACAATAGTTATATGTATTACTTATATTTAGGGAAAACATCCTACCCTATTGTGAGGTTTAACATTGCTTTTACTCCATTTAGGGAATTTCTTATTACAATTTAATCATGGTTAGGAAAGTACTCGCCTCGTCTCGCTAAAATTGTCTCATTTTTCATTTCTAGTCCGTCCTACTAAAGTGGCAAAGGAGGTACTTGGAGAATCTAAAGGATGTCGGCCACCTAAAAAGGACACATCTTGGTGGAATGATGAGGTGAAACAAGCCATAAGGAACAAAAGAGATTGCTACAAAAAGTTGGGGACAAATTGGAGTGATGAGAACATAGAAGCATACAAGGAGGCTAAAAGACAAGCAAAGAAAGTCGTAAGGGAAGCACGAGGGAAAGTGAACAAGGAGTTGTATGAAAAGTTGGACTCTAAGGAAGGAGAACTAGATATTTATAGACTTGCTCGTCTTCGTGATCGCAGAACTCAAGATATTGCAAAAGTTAAGTGTGTGAAGGATGTTGATCAGAGGATATTAATGGACGACGGAGAGATAAAAGAGAGGTGGAGGTCATACTTTGATACACTATTCAACGAGAACAAAATGCAAGATATCGGTGATTTGTCCATACCAGATTGTATGGTAAACCGTGATTTTGTGAGAAGGATCCAAACAACGGAAGTTAAAGAAGCTCTGAGGAAGATGGGACGGAAAAGAGCAATGGGGCCAGATGGCATACCGATCGAGGCTTGGAGAAGTTTGGGAGAGAGAGGCGTCGAGTGGCTAACAAGTTTCTTCAACATGATTTGGAGAAACAACAAGATGCCAACGAGTTGGAGGAAGAGTACTCTTATCCCTTTATTTAAGAATAAAGGTGATGTACAAGAATGTGCCAACTATCGAGAATTAAGCTTATGAGTCACACCATGAAACTTTGGGAGCGAGTGATTGAGCAAAGACTTCGAAGGACTGTGAAGATTTCAGAGAATCAATTCGGTTTTATGCCTGGTCGCTCAACAACTGAGGCTATTCACCTTCTTCGTCAACTTATGGAGAAGTATAGAGATGCTCATAAGGATCTGCATTTGGTGTTCATTGACTTAGAAAAGGCATATGATAGGGTACTTCGAGAAGTTCTTTGGTGGGCCTTAACTAGGAAAGGCATATCACGCAAGTATATCAACATCATCATGGATATGTATGAGGATTGTACTACAAGTGTTCGTACTAGTGTAGGGAGGACTGAAGAGTTCCCTATTACTATCGGAGTGCACCAAGGATCGGCCTTGAGTCCTTTCTTATTTGCCATAGTCATGGATGAACTTACAAAGTCAATTCAAGATGATATACCGTGGTGCATGATGTTTGCCGACGATATTGTATTGATTGATGAGACGCAATCCGGTCTTAAAGCAAAGTTGGAAGTATGGCGACAAACATTGGAGAATAAGGGTTTCAAACTAAGTCGGAGCAAGACAGAGTACATGGAGTGCAAGTTTGGTGGAGGTAGAAGTAGTGGTAATAGCGGAATTACTCTGGATGGTAAGGAGATACCAGTCAGCGATATGTTCCGTTACTTGGGCTCCATAATTCAGAAGGACGGTGAGTTAGAGGGAGATGTATCCCATAGAATCAGAACAGGGTGGATGAAGTGGAAGAGTGCGTCAGGAATTCTATGCGACCGAGGTATGCCGACTAGACTGAAGGGTAAATTTTATAGGACAACAATTAGGCCTGCATTACTGTATGGCGTAGAGTGTTGGGCGGTGAAACAATGTCACATTCAAAAGATGAGTGTGGCAGAGATGCGCATGCTGCGTTGGATGTGTGGGCATACTAGGAAGGACCGCGTGAGGAATGAGACAATCAGACAAAGGGTGGGAGTAGCACCTGTTGAAGACAAGATGCGGGAGTCGCGCCTACGGTGGTTTGGTCATGTGCGTAGAAGACCGAGTGATGCACCTGTTAGGCAAGTTGAGATGTGTGGAGAAGAGGCATGGAAGAGAGGGAGAGGAAGACCCAAACAGACGTGGGTTAGGGGAGTTCGAAGTGATATGCTTCTTCTGGGGTTGGATGAGGGCATGACTTTGGAGAGAACTAAGTGGAGGGCGGGTATTCACGTGAAGGAGTGATCTTGATAATCTTTTTCCCTAATCTTTTTTTTTTCCTAGTTTTTTATCCTTATATATATATACGCATTATTTGCAGCCTTTTTATTTTATCATTTTTATATATATTCATCTTTTTTATATTATCTTTTCATAATAGTTTATCTTTTTATCTTTTTTCCTTCTCTTCCTTTTGGTTGTGATATCATGTATCAATTAATGTTAGCCGACCCCAATATCTTTTGGGACTAAGGCTTGGATGTTGTTGTTGTTGTTGTAGTCCGTCCTACTAAAATTGTTCCATACCAAATTTGGTAAAATTTGTGTGCTTCTAAAACATTCATACTTTATTCTTATTTTATCAATCTAATTTAAATCACATAAATATACTTTTCTTAATAACCAAATTACCTCTTCATGTTCGAATGTTAGTAGGACATTTTAGATCAATAAGATTTCATATCATATCAATTCGTATGGGAGAGGGTTTTGACTTTTGACTATTTGTGTTTGAATGTTTTGTGTTGAAGTTGAGATGTTCATATCATTCATCAACTTGTGCAGTTTTATGTTGGCTGGTAGAGAACTTTAGCTTTCATCATCTTCCGTGGACGTAAGAAGCCGCCGACCATATGCAATTAAAACTTAATTAGGTTCTTAACTCACTAATTTAAAAAGAGATTCAAATCTTAGGCTCTTGATTCAAATTTCATGAAAAATTCAGAAGTAACTAAGGACAAATTCGGACCATTTCCGTAAATCTTTTGAAGTAAATTACCCCCTTCTCTACTTCATTTGATTTTTATTAGGACTGATGATGATAATGAAATCATGGAATTTGTGGGTGAACGGACATATTCGGACCACCACTTCCGTAAGTAAGAAGAATTGACAAACACGTTTCTTTAAATAGTTAGCAAATTTTGATTATCCATTTTTTCTTTTCATGAGATTTTGGGCGCGTCATGGAAAAACGAACAAATATTAATTAAATAAAATCAATTAATAAATAAAATAGCCAAAGAAAAACGGAAAACAGATGAGACAGAAATTAGCCAAAGCTCGTGTTACGCATGATGTCCTTAAAACGTATTCATTACCTCCCTAGATGCTAGGAGTGTTGCAACGATCGTTTCCCAGGATACGATGACTACGAACAATTATTTGAGCACTCAACAAATTATTCCAGCGAACGGAAACCAAGTATGAACACTTAGGAATATTTTCGGAATACTGGAGGTGTGTTTGTAGCTCAAAACGTTTGTGCTACCTGTGCTGTGAGATGTGTTGTTGCAAAACACCTGCCAGGTATATATATGGATGAATTTGTTGTGTGTTAACTGAGCTTTAATAGACCCGAACGTTGGACATAAATGACTAGCACATGAGGCATTAATATGTCGAAAACTGTCAATTTAAAGAAGCATTAAAGTTAATTAATGCACGTTGAACATTAAAGAGCAGTTCTGGAAAAAATAAAGAACGTTACACGAAGAAACAAAAATTAAATTGTATCTTTGAAAGATAGATTTTTGGACGACATTAGTGTCCGCAGGTCACCCGCGCACGCAAGTCGCGATTTGTCTTCTCCATTTACGGGATTTGATTGGCACCCCTGCGCGCGAATAGAACCTTTCCACCTAAAAATCTTAACTCGTCCAAAGAGGGTTCGTTTCATAAGGAGGTGAAAATCCCTTGGGTTTTTCGGTGTGGGAAATAACACACTAGAAACCCATCATTTTCCAGTTTTTCCATTACAACGAGTGAACTTCGAGAATCAATTTCTCATTGACCGGTTATCCATTTTGAGTGTACCATATATCTAAATCGGAAGTGGACCCCACTCAAAATATTGTCCCAAATTGATCATTTGATGTAATTTTTAACATATTTTTTCAAGAGAGAGAGAGAGAGTATTATCTCGAATAACTCATTGATTGCTAATTAAGTGGGGTGATTGTTATATATATATACCCTTGCCCAAAAGGAAAGAATAACTAGATACAGGGTGTCGTCAAAGTATGTAAAGTGCTTGTAATTTCATTATGTAGAGTAATACGAAGGATTTGGTACGACGTAAGCATTGTTTGGTCGGATTTCAATATCGAGTTTTAGTTGTACCAAACCTTTGATGCAGGCGTGCATTTACAAGCCTAAAATCTTTTTCATATTCCTATGCTTTTAATTAATTACGTCACAATTAAGATGAAATTTGTTTACCATGCTAGCTATTAATTATGGAGTATTTGGAAGAATAAATGAATGGTTTGGATTTCAGAAAAAAACTGACATATTACACGAATAAAGTAAACTCGTTCAATTACATGCTGAAATAACGATGTGAAATTGCATAAAAGTATATTTAACCAAGAAAAAATTGATTAAGAAGAGGGTACATATCATTAACATAAGCTTACGTGAGATTGAATGGTCCAGTATGGTATGATATGATAGAGTAAATATCTAGTCGCTATGCATTTTACGATTGTCGATATGTGTTCTGTTATGATCTGGTCTAAGACTAGTTTGATCTGGTCTGGGATTGAAATAGATCATAGTAAAAACATCCTTATTCAACTCTAACTCTTCATCGAAATAGAAGTATGTGCGAAACAATTGTGTGAAATGATTAAATTTTAGCTCAAAGTTAGGTGAAGTGGTCATACAAATAAACATAGCCTATATGATACCCCTTCTCTAATTAAACTTTTAAATTCTCTTTTTTGTCAACCCATAATAAATTTCCATTTTATGGAAAAAAATTTGTGATTCACAAATCACAACAATTCTTACTCTCATGCTACATACATTCTTACACATTTATCTCTCTTTACCACATCATGTCCACTATCTTAATTCTCTTGCCAAATATATATACTTTGCAAGTTAATTTAGGGATGGAGGGAGTATTAGATTACATGCTACAAACGTGCTTGGATTGTTTTTGTCACACTAATTCAATTGATTAAGTTTACATATTATTATTATTAGCACAAGACCGCTAAAGGACAATTGTCTTTATTGTTGTTTTATACTATATATTTTATTATTATATATATTTACACTTATATTTATGTAGATAGACTTGCTGTTAGTTCAAACTCCTTTGTCTCTAACCATAAATATGTACTTAGTCGATCTTGTGATCAGAAAATATCACTTTGCTGTAATGTGGTTTCGTTGGGCTCTCAATTCTCTCCAGGTCGTTTTTCTTTATCTCTCTCTTATTTTTTGTTTCTTCTCCAATGTATTGCATAATTATGAATCTCTCGATAAATCCTCTCATACTTAACATATACAGTATACCTTATTGCTTGATTTTTTTTAATTGCAATATTAAAAATCCCTAATATAAATATGTTTTTACATCGTTCTCAATTTTCTACATCATTTCTATATTTATTTGCTACGTTTGAATTTAATTTGTCATTGTTCTTCTCGATCTTCTGCATGTTTTTCTCCACTAAGTTAAAGTGTTTAATTTGTAGAGTAAGCTTCGGGAAGCATTAGTTCGCGAATTAATTGTTTTTGCCTAGGTAGAAATGGTAAAAAAGTCTAGTAGTATAAGGGGAAAAAGGTTTCGATATTGTCATATTTTTATTCCCAAAAAATGAGTAATTACTGTGCAAGTTTGAAAAATACTTTTATGTTTAAAGTCTAATATTGTCAAATATGACAGTAATTAGTCTTATTTTGAGAATAAAAATATGATAGTACTATTTTGGAATTTACAAACTTTTTAGTCCTATTTACGACTAATTATCCTCATAACTTGACTAGCCATGTTATACGGAGTAATTATCCTCAAAATGGAACTAATATTAGTGCATCTCCGACGGTTAGCTAATTATCCTCATAACTTGACTAGCCACATAAGCATTTACGTTAAAATTAAAATATAGACAATTGGTTAACTATACCATTTTCCTTTTCATTTAATAATAATAATAATAATAATGTTATACGGAGTATTAAATAATTCTCTTTGCTCAAGCTAGTAACTCATTTTGGCTAATTTATTTTCTCAAGCAAAAGGAGGAGCAATGCTCCAATGATAAACTATTACTTTGAAAATTACAAGCAAGTCCTCAAAAGGAACCATCCGAGATGCTCTTACACTACGGACCAAAAGTATTCATACATATTAATACGGAGTATAACAAACATTTGTTTTTTGTATTTTTTCATAAATGATTGCCTTGTTTCTTAGTTTGAGACTTTGAAATAAGAGAGATTTTGATTTTGGTTGTGAAAATGTGTGTTTAAAGAACTTTGGTTTGATTTAAAATTGTGAGTGTTGAGAAGTTACGAGTACAAAACAATAACAAACAGCTGAGTCTATAACACTACAACAAAGTATAGCTTATGTAGCATATGCAAAATGTTGTAATAGGCCGGTGTCAAAAATGTCACAATAAATCAAATGTAGCATTGTGTAGTTTGTTGCATCCGACTGGTATTACAACACATGTATTGTAGCAATTTATTATTTTATTATAACATTTCTTGATACAATAATGTTATAATAAATATTATATTGTAGCAATTTCTAAGGTGCTACGAAATGAAGGCTACAATAGACATTTTTTGTATCAGTGTATGTAATGTTTAATTTGCTTCATTATTCCCATTTTCTTGGTGTAAATTTTAAAAAATTCTAGTTTTTATTTTTGATTTTATTCTAACGTACACGCAAGGGCAATATAATTAGGCTACACTAGTATAAGAATTATTTGGATAAATTATTACACATTTTTTTTACAATGACGGTATACGTTTTTTTTAAATTTGAGGTGAGACAAGGTGTCACACATAGAAACGAGCTAAGGATCAGATTGGTCCTCGAAATTGCATTAAAAGGGTCAAATAAGTCCTTAATGTCCGGCCGTCGCCATTTGGGGGGTTCCAGGTGGAACTTTTGATGAATTTTTTTGAGGATCTTATTCATTAAGTCTAGTTTACTCATACCAAATTTCAGCTAAAACTTAAATCGGGAAGGCATTCAAATGAATTCTTGAAGGTAACTGCACTTTTAACTGCGCAGTTATCTTCAAGACTTCATTTGAATGCCTTCCCGATTGAAGTTTTAATTTAGCTAAAATTTGATATGAGTAAACTAGACTTAATGAATAAGACGTTCAAAAAATTTCATCAAAAAATTCCACCAAGAACCGTTCTGAATGGCGACGTCCGGACAGAACCTCCTATATAAGGACTCATTTGATCCTTTTTATGCAACTTCGAGGACAAATATGACCCTTCCCCCCACACAGAAACCCCTTACCTTCCCCCCTGAGTAAAGAGAAATGAATCCTAAGTTTGTAACTTCTTTGTACTAAGCTTGCATAACTATGGAATCCTATATGATTAAATTATATGAGCATATTTGGCTCCTCAATTACTATTCATTTGAGGTGTGTCCATACATGCCATATAACTTCATGGAGTCATATGAGACTTCAAATTTTTTTTTCTTGTTTTCTCCCACATCAAATTTGTCATAAAGTATCACAAACAATTAATCTCAAAGTCCAGTGAATTCTTTTCATTCAGGTATTGTCAAATAGATTATCTATTAACTTTAAGCCCCTGTTTTGAGCGTTTCGGAGGGGAGGGGAGGAGAGTGGGGAATTTGTGTGTGTTTGGTCGAAGGAAATAGGGGGGGGGGGGGGGGGGGGGGGGGGGGGGGGAATGGGAGGAAAGTGGAAACCTTTCAAAATCCGCCGCTTCCTTCCATTCTAAACCGCCAAATCGGGGTATTTCGGAGAAAACATGTTGATAACCACAAACTATCCATCTCCTACGTGAATGAATAAAACGTTACAATATAAAAGGTAAAAAACAAAAAGTTTTGAAAAATTAAAAAAATTTAAAGATTAAAAAATTTAAAAATTAAAAAATTAAAAATTTAAAAAATTTAAAAATTTTAAATTAAAAATTTCAAAAATAAAAATAAAAAATTTTAAAAATAAAAATAAAAAATGAAAAATTCCAAACTGAAAAATGAAAAATTATAAAATTTAAAAAGTAAAAAATCAAATAAAATAAAATTATGACTCATGACCAAAGGGGTAATATTCACAATAGTTAGACATATATCTATTTTTTTAAGTAAGCTATCAAATAAAAGTAAATTGTGAAAATATTTTCATTAAACCTTTCCTCCTATTTCCTCCGACCAAAAAGGGGTTTGAGTCTTACCTACAATGCGTACGGTAGAGGCTTTTGACTTTCTTTGTTCGAACGTTGTGCTGATGAAGTTGAGTTGTTCATATCATTCATCAACTTGTGTAGTTTTATGTTGGCTTGTAGAGATTTTTAGATTTCATCATCTTCCCTGGGCGTAATTGTCGTAAAACCAAAATTTTATACCAAAAAAACAAATTCAGAAGTAACTCGATCATTAGCAATTCAAAACTCAGGCCAGCCTTTACATCGCATCTATTCTATTTATATATACGAAAACAAATAGCTCTGACAATTACATCATTCATTAATACTATATATCCATCTCCACAATTTACTCATTTGCTATAAAAATGTCAAGTGACAACATATAATTCTTTTCTCTTCAAATTCCAATTGGAACTGCGAAAACATCAAATCAAAGCAAGGTAATTGACTGAGTGATAGACTTGGTGGGTCCCATGATTTGAAAAAATTTCTTTTTTACTTTAAAGTGTTATAACTTTTTCATTTTTAATCCAATTTTTACAAAAATCATATCAAATTTAATAATTGTTTATGATCTTTCATATGACATCAATATGACATATATAAAATTCAAAAAAATCTGAACATTTATTAAACAACCTTCTAATTTTATAACGTAAATACGAATTATTCTGTATTAAATAAAGAAAAAGTTTCTAATATATAATCAAGATAGGGATAGTTGATAAACATATGGCTTATTAACTTTTAGTATATATAATTGTTTTCAAATTCACTATAAAAATTCATAGATAATTTATTTTGTTTTTTTATTTACAAATATCTATATATTGGAGGGGTTCTTCCTTATAATTACTTTGATACGGAGTATAAAACTAAAATATATTTTTTTTTGCTGGAAAACGCTTATATTAAATTAAAAAATCAAACAACTAAACATCCTGTATTCTGGCCACCCAAACATTTCCTCTAGACTCCTTATAGCCATTAGGCAACCATGCGAGACATAGAATAGACTCCCAATAATGAGCAAGACTAATCGCTAACCATGCGAGAGATTCAAAGCTATTATCGGCCAAATTAGCTTGCTTGCTTCCTCCCGAACTAAAAACTAAAGTCACAAAACATAATTTTCTCTCTCATATGTAGTGCTTTTTGGTAATAGAAGATAAGTTTGCTAACATTTAGTGACTATAATTGATGGATAGTGTACCCGGGGGTAGCTTATCCGAGGGGTTATTGCGGAGAATAACTAGAGAGAAGTCAGAGCAAACAAGTAAGAGAGAGAGTGTATATTCGATATGTATTCAGCGTGGTTTACAATGAGGGAAAGGGGTGCTATTTATAGTAGTAATAAATGCTAGATAAGGACACGTGTCAGTTTTCTGGTGGTCGAGGGGTCACCTCGAACGGGGTGGCACTGGCACTCGCATGTGGTCGCATTAAATGCAGTGGTTGGATGTGACGTTTGTACTTGGTACGGTGATCCAGACGCATGTGAAGAGGATATTCTGTCGAGGTGGATGCCTTCGGCTGAAGGGTGTTGGGCCGAAGGCTCTTCTAACCGAGGGCTGCAGGTGCCGAAGGCTTGGTTTTCAAGCCTTGTTCTCCTGTGATGCCTCTTCTAACCGAGGGCTCCTACCTGTCGAGGGCTGCAGGTGCCGAAGGCTTGGTTTTCAAGCCTTGTTCTCCTGTGATGTTTCTGAGCTCGATTCCGTCACTGGTAGCCTTCGGCCATGGGGCCGAAGGCACCCCTTTTTGTATTGTGGGCTGCTCAGAGCTCCATTTTGCTGGGCTTGGCCCGTTTGGGCCTGTTGGGCCTGATTGTAGTAGAGGAAGTATGTGGGCCGGGGGTCACTGGGCCATATACTCCATCAATAATAATAAAAAACCAGCCCTTATATAATACAAAAAAGCTTATATGCTCATTTTTCATTTGAAATTATGTAGTAATTTTAGTTACAAGATAAGCCGACTAATAATTGATCGGGATAATTTTATCTCCCATATATAGTGGTTTTAGGTCAAAGAAGGTAAGCTTGCTAATAACTCAGCGGAAGAATTTTCTCTCTAATATATAGTGTTTCTAGGTATGAGAAGATAACCTTGTTAACAATTGTGCAGAGAAATTGAGCGGGAAAATTTTCTCTCATATGTAGTGTGGTTTTAGGTATTGAGCGGGAAAACTCTCTCATATGTAGTTCTTTTAAGTATAAGATAAGCCGGCTAACAATTGAGCAGAAGAATTTTGTCTCTCATATGTAATGATTTTATGTATAGAAAATAAGCTTGCTAATAATTGAGCGGAAGATTTTTTTCTCTCACATGTGGTGCTTCAATGTAACAGAAGATAAGCTTGCTAACAATTGAACGGGAAAATTTTCTCTCTCACATGTAATGCTTTTAGGTATTATTATATTAGAAGATAAATTTGCTAATAATTGAGCGTGAAAACTCTCTCTCTCTCTCACATGTAGTGCTTTTAAGTATAAGATTAGAAAATAAACTTGCTAATAATTGAGTAGGAAAACTCTCTCTCTCTCTCATATGTAGTGCTTTTAAGTAGTATATAAGATAAGATAAACCGACTAACAATTGAGTGTGAGAACTTTATATCTCATATGTAGTGATTCTGAGTAACATTAAATAATAAGCTTCCTAATATTTGAGCGGGAGAATTTTCTCTCTCACATGTAATGCTTCTACATATTACAATATAAGTTTGCTAACAATTGAGCGGGAAAATTGAACAAGATAATTTCTCTCTCATATGTAGCGATTTTAGATATATGAAGATAAGAAGATAAGCTTGCTAACAATTGAGCGGACAAACTTTTTTTCTCATATGTAGTTCTTTTAAGTAGGATAATCCAACTAACAATTGAGCAAGAGAATTTTCTCTCCCATATGTACTGCTTTTAGGTATAATAAGTAGATATGTAAGCTAACAATTGAGCGAGAGAGTTCTCTCTCTCATATGTGGTGCTTTTAGATATAAGAAGATAATCTTGCTAAATATTAAGCAGGAAATATTTATATATTAATTTGTAATTAGATCATGAGTACAAATATATGTAACAACTGCTCTTTCTCGTGCGTATGCACGGGTACTATACTAGTTATAGGTTAGAAAACAAATATAATTAGGGAGAATTCCCCGAAACTGCATGAAACTTTAATTGGCAAAATAGGACCATAACTTAAAAGTTCCCTAAATAGGAGTAGCTTTCCAATTCTACCCTTTCTTTGTTTTAATACCATTCATATTTCACTAATAATTAAAATATAAAGTAATAAATATAACTTTATTTATATTAAAAATGAAAAAAATAAAAAACACGAAATAAAAACTATTTAAAATTAATAAAAATTAAAAATTCGAAAATTTATAATTCATAAAATAAAAAACTTAAAAATAAAAAAAAATAAAAAAATAATGTTAAAAATAAATAAAAAAATATGCAGGCCTATGCTGCCGCCTCAGCAACCTCCCGGCACCACCGGCTCCGATCATCCGAAAAAATGCCAACATGTGTCAGAAATGCCATCTTGAATTCTTGATGGCAGTTCTCGAGAAAAATTTTGGCATTTTCAAGAGTAAAAATGCCATCTTCATGATATTTTCAGAGAAAAAATGGCAGTTTTTACACAAAATGACATTTTTTAGCCGATCAGAGATAAAGTTGATGGGGAGTAGCCGAGACTTTGGGAAAGGCCTCCATATTTTTAAAGGTGTTTTATCTATTTTTTTTTTTTGAAGTTTTTTTTTTAATTTTTATGATTTTCGTATTTTTTAAAAATATTTATAATTTATATATATTTGTTTACGATTTTTTTGTATAAGATAATTTATTTTTTGTATTTATTACCAATTAAAATATGATTATACATTCTTTGCAACATTTATACAAATAAAATAAACAATTTACCTCATTTTGAGTACCATTGCCTTAAGTTTACTATATAAAGATTAGCCCATTGATTCTGACTTTAGGTTGACCGCAACGGTGAGGGTAGTTTTGAGGTTTTCACCCCTAATTAGCCGTAGCCTTTGGCATCCTGAATTCATCGAGTACGGATGGCTGCAAAGGGAGAAAAATGGACTGCACGTATCGGCATATGACAAGACACGAGACCCACGAGAATTAATATCTCCCTTTTCTTTAAATTGTTATAATATCTTTATTTTTGCTTTAATTTTTATAAAAAATCGAAATTGAGAATTTGTTATGATCTTTCGTCATATAACACTAATATTGCATATATAAAGTTATAAAAAATATGAAGTTTCATTTGTTTGAAATTTGGACACTCAATTTTTTTCTGAAATATAGATCCAAGTATTATACATCTTTCACTTATTTCTTTCAAAAACAGGTCTTAAGTAACACAGAATTGAACTCCGAATATAATTTTTATTACATTTGAATATCTGACTTGTTGAATAATAATTATTCACAAAAATAAAATTGGCAAAAAATTGATGTATAACAATAAGAGTTAATAATGAAAACCTTAGCTGAGTATATATATTGACGGTGCTGGGTTGTAGGAAAAAAACTGAATTGACCGAGTGAATACGTATAACTGGTGAGAAGCTTAATTTATCGACGGAATGAGTTTTGGTTAGCCTTAAAAGTCATTGGGCATGTCCTCTGATAATGTTCATTTGATATGGATTAAATTAAAAATAATAATAGAGATTTAAAATCAATATGAGATTAACCACTAGTTTGATAGAATGAGTGTCTATTAGAACTAATCAGAATAAATTATAAATCCATATTTTTTAAATGATTAATTTTCATCATCACATATATGATATATATTTTTATTGTAGCCCATAGTTGTCTTCTAAAAATGTATATGTAATCTTACTATGTTTTCTGTAACTAAATACCTAACTACAACTATTGCATTTTGGTTTATGTGAAAGTACAGAAGAATATTACCAATGAGCAAAGCAGATATGTGCATTGTTAGGTGATGCTTCTCCATGGAGAGCATGAGAAGGGGAGATGAGGATGTTTCCTGCAAGGAAAAGGTTGTTGAGAGTTCATTATCATCACCTAGCAATAGGTGTCCTTTATTCACACAATACTACACTCCTTCAGCTGGTGGTAAAACTGATGATTCATTTGATTTGGCCATGGATGGACTTATTGCCACCTCCATTGAGCAGTTATTACTATATAACAATGTGTATGAGATGGAGAGCTCTGATCAATCTCCGTCTAGGCTGAGTTTCCTCTCGTATGGCGACGAATCTAGAATTGACTCTGAGTTAAGGTTTCTTGCTGGTGTAGATTATGGAGAGGTCACAAAGGAGGATGAGAAGAAAGATGAGGAAGTTTTTGGGCGCTCTATTATCATTTCAAACCAAAACCAAACAACAACAACAACAACAGAGAAGAAGCATCAAACAAAATATTGTGGAGTATCGAAAAAGCCGAATTCGAGAAGCAAGTCCTTTCATCATGTCAGAACTGCTTCCTCTTCTTCTACTTCTGTTTCTAGGAAGACAACGACTCCAACGAACCAAAGAAAGCTCATGACTGGGCATGTTGAAGATGAGAATTCTGCTAAAGTCAAAGGTTCTTACTATCTTGGGCCATATCTGCTCAAACAAGCAGCAAAGACCTTGGTTTCATCGTCGTCGTCCTCATGGGGTGACGACAACAACCATCAGAAGGCCCTTGATTTCACCCTTCGCGCTTTGAAGTATTTTGAAGCTTCTTATTCAAAGGGCAATTCCAGAAGCAGCTTGGAGCTTGTAATGTGTTTACACATTGCAGCTGCATTGTATTGCAGGCAAGAATAAAAATATCCCTAAAACTATTAAAATACAAAAAAACTAGTACATATTCAATATCGGTGTAGGGATTTTCTAAATTTAAAACATAACTATATTTCTGTTAGTTTTTTTCCCCTATAAAATATAATGAGATCACCCATATTGTATTAGTAAACTAATAGATTCAAAATAAGGCATGTCAATAGCACACACGACAAAATGTTGCAATTAATAAAGAAGGTATCAATACTCACTTAATCCTCTAGCTTTGTTCCACTTTACCTTTTTCTTTTGTTTCATTTAATTCCCCCATATCGTATTTAATAATATTTGAATGATTGCACTTTATTCTCACTTTATTCACACATTACTAATTCAATATCAACAACACAACTTCACTTTTTAAATAACCATATCACCCGCTCACCTCCCCTTCTTAGGGGGAGAAGGTAGTCTTTTTTGATAACATATTATATGTATATGTTATTGAAATAATAATTACAAATAGGTTTTATACATATATTATTGTAAATAAAAAGGGTCAAAGTAGACATAGAAATTTTAATGGGGACAAAATTATTACTAAGTATGTATTATGATACATCCTGATATTTATTAAAATATTACAATATGTTTTATATTTCTTGATACTTTTTCCCACATAAAACACATAATTTTTTGATGAAAATATAATAATTGTCATGATAATTATCATGTTTTTCCTTATTTGATGCAGATTAGGAAGGTATGAGGAAGCAATTCAGGTTCTCGAGAGATCCATTGAAATTCCTGTGATGGATAGGGGAGATGAGGTCCATCTTGCGGCTAAATTTGCAGGGTGTATGCAACTTGGAGACACATATGCAATGCAGGGTGAAGTGGATAGCTCAATCCCGTTCTATACAGCAGGACTAGAAATTCAACGAAAAGTGCTTGGGGAAAAAGATCCGCGGGTTGGAGACACGTGTCGGTATGTGGCAGAAGCACAGATTCAAGCAATGCAGTTCGACGAAGCAAAGAAGCTCGGTGAGTTGGCACTTGAAATCCATAGAGGAGGAGGGGGAGGAGATAATACAACTGCTTCTTCTTTTGTCGAAGAAGCAGCTGACAGGAGACTCCTAGGGATGGTTTATGATTCCAAAGGAGATTATGAAACTGCACTTGAGCAGTATATTTTGGCAAGTGTGACAATGGCTGCTGCTCGTCAACATGACGAGAAAAGCAAGGACATAGCAGCGGCCGAGTTGGCTGCTGCTATAGACTGCAACATTGGGGATGCATATCTCTCTCTTTCAAGATACAATGAGGCTATATGTTCATACCAAAAAGCGATCACGATGTTAAAAAACTCTGTCTATAAAGGTGATCAAAACCATCCATCCATTGCTTCTGTATATGTTCATTTAGCTAATTTGTACAATAAAATGGGAAGATTTAAGGACTCCAAATCTTATTGTCAAAATGCTCTCCGAGTATATTGTGCTAATCCATCACTTCCCGAAGTGATGGCGTGTGGTTTAGCCGAAGTGGCTGCGATTTACGAATCGATGGGTGAGCCGGAAGAAGCCCTTGATTTGCTTCACAAGGCCATCAAAGCATATGGAGATGCGACCATAGGGCCACATCATAGCACACTCATTGCAGGGATTGAAGCACAAGTTGGAGTTTTGTATTACACCATAGGGGACTACTCAGGTTCTTACAACTACCTTAAAATTGCTATTGACAAGTTTCGGCTCGTTGAGGAGAAAAAGGAGCAACGGAAGAAGAAGAAGACATCCTTTTCTGCTGTTTTGGGCATTGCTCTCAACCAAATGGGGCTGACTTGTCTCCAACTCTTTACAATAAATGAGGCTGCAGATTGTTTTGAAGAAGCAAGATTCATCTTGGAAGCTGAACACGGACCATGCCACGTCGACACATTGGGAGTTTATAGCAATCTTGCTGCTACTTATGATGCCATGGGAAGGTATGTCATACTTCGTTTCCCACACCGGCTAAATATAAAAACAAAAGCTCCAAATATTAGGACTCAGACTACTTCTCTAGGCTGAACCCTTTTAGGATGGAAACTTATCAATACTTCTCTAAGGCCTCATTGCCATCTTTTCCATCCTTTTCTTTTCTGTTTTTGGAAAACTAGAACCCTAATTATGAAACTTCAATGAGTTTTTATTTTACTTTTTGTTGGTAGTTATCAAAATTAACATGATTATTGTAAGTATGACCATTTTAAGCCATTAGTATAAGTAGTACTTTTTAAAATTAGTATAGATAAATTGAAAAGTTGACTGTAAGACCTTATATACAACTGCTCACCTCAACAGATGTATCATTTGAAATATGCATTTTCCAAACAAATCTAAGTCGATTAATTAGTTATAATTAATAAACCCATGAAGAATCTACATAGATATTTAAAGTACGTACTGAATCATATATTTTTTTATTAGAATGTGAAATAATACTTTTGAACTATAAAATGTAGTTGACTATATATGAAACTAGTTTATTGACTTTGGGATATTTGTTTTTCTGTTTTATCAGGACTGACGATGCAATTGAAATTTTGGAATTTGTGGTTGGAATGAGGGAAGACAAACTCGGAACTGCAAACCCAGACGTGGATGAAGAGAAGAGAAGGCTGGCAGAATTGTTAAAAGAAGCAGGAAGGGTTAGAAACAGGAAAGCTAAATCTCTTGAAGCCCTTTTGGGTAATAAATCACATATATTGAAAAATTGGGAAGTTAAATATATTTGAATGTGTATAAAATATTCTTTTCACACCACTTAGTGTCATAGTGCAATATTATTAGTATATACTAAAAGAATTACAAATTATATAGATTAGCGAGTTCTACCTCCCTAATAATGGAGTACAATCGATAATATTTTTGTAATGTCGTACGTAGCTGATCATAATTCTTGAACATTTCTTACCTTCAGGCTTCAAATGATTAAATTGAGTTTCACACAATACTTATAGGGCTAGGCAAAATTGTTTGATTTAAGCGAAGCGAACCAAACCGAAAATTGGTAGTTTGGTTTGGTTTGGGTTTACTTAAGTAAATCGCTTGGTAACAATTTGCTCAAACCGAATGGCTTGGTTTGGTTTGGTTTCATATATATTTAGAGGTGGTGTACACTATACACTGGTTACATGTTCACGAAGCCGAAGTAAATTTTAAATTAACAGTGACATAAAACTTTACAGAGTAAACATTACATTTTTTACTCCTAATATAATTAATTAAAACAATTAATTATCTTCTAGTTTCCTTGCATAACCGGGTAATTAACCGGGTCATTAATTTTTTCATCTTAATTTTTCAATATATATGAATTTTTTGAAATTATAACTAGTAGAGAACTAAATATATTAATAGAAAATTGTATGTTGGTAAACATGAAAAGAAAGTGTTGCAATTAAAGGAGAGCGGAAGAAGTGTGAAACATTTCATTTAGGATGTTTTTACTTGGATTTATTTCAATCCTAGACAAGACTAGACTTAAACAAATCAAATCAGACCAAACCAGACGAAATCAAACACGAAAATTTCAGTCCAATTAAAAACATCTTAGACTCATTTTGTTTGTCATCTTTCATTGTAAGTTACTAAGGGTCCGCTTGGGAAAATTGAAATTGGCTGAATAGGTTGAATCGGTTGAAATTTATGAAATTCTGGCTGAAGTCTCTCCATTGGCTAAATCTAGTGAATTTTAAAAAAATTAAATTTAGAATATATTTTGTTAATAAAATCATGAAAAAAATACATGAAAATAGCTAAAATGGTGTTCTACAATAACTTCACTAAAAAACTATGTGTTTGATAAAAAGTTATCTCACAAAACTAATAAGTTAAAAATAAGGGTTACCAAACAAGTTCTAAATTATATCAAAATATTTATTTCATATTAAGTATATATATACAAGCTTCTATGTCCTTCATTAATCTAGAGGAGTCCGCATTTTTCCGAATATTCTAGAGGTTTTCACACACTTTCACACGGTCCAAATAATTCTACACCGCTTTCAGAATCCCATAATGATCTAAAAATATTTTACACTTTCCTCCAAGCTCCTAGATTATTACATATCCACTTCTCTAAAAAGATACTTCAATACGGAGTATTATTAAATGGGCGAGATATATCTACACCGCTTTGAAAATCCCATAATTGCTCAAATTTTTATTATTAAGGAATGAAATATATTAATGGTCAAACTTGTGCGCTTATAAACGTGAAAAGTGAACTCTTGTAATAAAAAGGAACATATAGGACGCATTAAATAGGCAGTTACTACAACCTCGTTAAAACTAGCCTGAGAGTTTTCATATTTTGAAAATATTGCCTAATATATAATTTCATTATCAATGCTTTTAAAAATATCTCTCAATGTATCACACTAATCAATTTGTAAATTGTCATCATCCATCTTGTTGAGAAGATTTATATTGATAATATTGATCGTAGAGAAGCTCTTTCAAGGATGGCTGTTGCCTGTTGCAATTTGAAACGACACATGTTTTGGACTCATCATTTTACATCTCACTATATTCAATTCAACTCACTCAAGCTTTAATTTTTAGGATTGTAAATTTGCACAATGTTTATATCATATTCTTTGTTTATGTGTTCTTAATTATACTCCCTCCGTCCCTGTTTTTTCTCCCATTTCGGTTGGGCACACTAATTAAGATAGTGGGTTTTGTGTGGTGGAGAATTGTGCATAGGAGAGAGAAATGTGTAAGAATGTGTAAGAATGATTGTGAACCACAAATTCTTTGCCAAAAAGGGAAGAAGGAGATAATTTTGGGACGGAGGGAGTATCATATTCTTATGTCATGGAAACGTTTCTTGCCCCATTTGCTTCCAAAGAGACATGCCACACCCGTTTTAACCATTCTAAGAACATTGAAAAAAATGAGGTTTTGTTCAATTTTAAACAAATCAGGTATACTAACAAATAACATTTTGCTCCGTTAACCCTTTTGAAATAGTGTTGGGCATTTTCCCTTCGCACATCGTGCGTCGTATTACTAGTTATATACTCCTCCGTCCCTTAAAATTTTTTCAAGTTTGACCGGCACAAAGATTAATAAAGTAAAAATTGTGTGATTAAAGTTTGTGCAGAGGAGAAAGAATTAACTGGAACCACAAATTCTTTACTTAAAGAGAAAGTGACAAAGTTAGTCGGACATCCAAAAAAGGAAAGTTGTCAAAGTTTTAAGGGACGGATGAAGTATATATACATATATATATCCTAATATATATATATATATATATATATATATATATATATATATATATATATGTATTTTCCCTTCGCACATCGTGCGTCGTATTACTATTTATATACTCCTCCGTCCCTTAAAACTTTGTCAAGTTTGACCGGCACAGATATTAATAAAGTACAAACTGTGTGATTATATATATATATATATATATATATATATATATATATATATATATATATATATATATATATATATAATGTGTAAGAGAGTTAGCATGGTCCTATTTCTGTTGCTACAGCCCTCACGGTACAAACACCCGTTTCTTTCCTCGATCAACTACGAACCAAATGAAAAAACGGCCATTTGATTTGCTCGCAATGAGAATTCAGCTGACGCCTGTGCTCTGTGCGCCACACAAACTCTGGCAGCCCACCTCAGGTCAGTTCGTAGGTTACTGTTGGAGCGTTTGGGTGGTGGGTGGTGATGTTGGTGCAGAGGCTGGTCTCCTACAAGTTGGATGCTCTTTGCTGATTTCATTCGTCCGCTCACATAGGTCTCCGCTGAGACTGCTTTCGTTTTGCTGCCCCTGTAAGTTTGCATTGTTTTCTTCTTTTGATTCTCTCTTTGCTCCTTCGTTGCTTTGTTCCTTTCTCTCTTTGGCTTTGTTCTTATTGTTGTTATGGGGCTGGTTTTGGTTTTTTGAAGGACCTCATTTGGTGTGTACTTTCCTTTCTCTGTGCGGTTGGGCGATGGAGGTTTTATTTTTTTTATGTTTACTTACCTTTCTGTTGGTGTTGTGGTGGGGAAGTTTACCTCATCTCTACGACTCTTTGATTTGTTGTTAGGAGATATTCAATTCCAGTGATGCCCCATCTGCTATTGTTGCCCTAGATATTAATGCTAAATGTTATGCGGTTGCAAGTGGCCCGGTTGAAGCTGGTATCAGTCATAACACTCCTTTGGTTATTTCCGAGTCTTGTGCGCTAGTGGTTACTCAGAGTGCTATTGCCACTTCTGTTGAAGCTCTGATTGTTCCTTCGATAGCTTGTACTCCACTTTATGATGCTTAGGCCTCTGCAGATGTTGCTGGTGCCACTGGTACCACAACCATTGTTGCCCTCTCTGTTGAAGTTTCTGAACTCCCCCTGAAACTGCCTTTTCAGAAAATTCTAATGCTTTGGCCTTATGATTGTTGGCAATGAAGAAAAGTAGGATTCATCCCCTGTAGGCCATAGTTCTGATGCGATTATAACCTGGGATGGGCCCCCAGTGGCTACCTGTAATAAGGCGGTAACCGGAGGCGATGCTCATCCCTTATTGGTAGCTTTAGCTGCTTTTATTGGTGCTCAAAGTGAACTGCTGCCTACCTGTAATAGCGCCCCTAATGCCAATGATGTCATTGAGGCCACAACCAGAAATGATGATATTCTATCTGATCCCCCGAATGAAAATACTACTCTTGCTCCAAAGTTATCCGATGATGATACTATATTTGAGGAAAACCATGCTTTTTTCCCCAACCTTTTCAAATACTACTCAAAATTCCCCAGATGAGGGAGAATGTCTGGAAGGTTGTATGCAGGTTACTAGAGGAAGACACTCAAACAAGAACCCGCCAAAATTGTCTAACGCCGATCAGCAAGAATCACAACAATACTACCAGGTGGGGTGGACTTCACTCTAAAAAAATAGTATTAGACATTCTCACTCTTGTGTGTTTTCCTCGTGTTAATCTGTTATTTTAAACATTGTCACTTTTTATTAACACACATTTATGAATATGAGGACTGAACTTGTCTGAATGTACAAAACCTTGATGGGAAGTGAAAGATTCTGAAAAGAGAGAATTCCCTAAATAGGAGTAAAAGAGTTTTGAAATTCCAAAATAGGAGTATCCTATTTTTTATTCCCTGGATAAGAGTAAATTTATGCCAAGTTTGGCATTACTAGTATAACTGATTACTAGTAAATTTATGGTCAATTTATGCCAAGTTTGGTATTACTAGTATATATTTTGGAAGTAATAAAAAACATGATACTCCTATTTTGGAATTTCAAAACGTTTTTGCTCCTATTTAGAGAAATTTCTATTCTGAAAAGTAAGAAGAATAAGATGAATTCATAATCCAGTTTATCTCCTGCTCACACATGATTTCTTTAGCCTTTAAGAAGCATTGCTTTTGTATTCCAGGGAATGAATTTATATTTCAAGAGGGGATGGACAAGCTGTAACTTGTGAAGACTTTTTTTTGCAGGCAATGCTAAATACAAATAATGGCAGACTTTGCTAACTTTTTGTTATGGTATTTAAGTAATCATTGTCCTTATTTTCCTCTTAAGTTGGTTGGTTCTATTTCAAACATTTTAAATTTAATTTATTGAACTTTTAGGTACTCTCAAGGTGAAACCCCGTCTCAAGAAGGTTACTTCTACTTATAATGCTGATTCTCATACTTATTCTCTAAAATTCAGGTATAGCTGTTAAGTTTATTTTCTATACGTTAAATTAGTAGATAAATATACTCCCTTCGTCCCATTGGACTTTGCCAACTTCTCTTTTTTTGTTTATCCCAAAAAACTTTTCAATTTTCCACTTAAAGCAATGAATTTGTGGCTCTATTCATTTCTCTGTCCTGTGCACAAACTTCAACCACAAAGTTTTAACTATTCTAGTTTCATACCCAACTTTAAAATATTTTTACTATTTTAAAGTACAGAATTTGATTTTAGTCT